AGACACAGCATATGAATGACATTATAAAATAAAATAAAAATTACCAAAAAACATGTCCAAATGGGAAAAGTACAGTTAGTGATAACAATAATTTGTCCTTCAGTTGACTAGGACATTGCTCTGAGCATAGACCTGCTGCAGTGTTGTGACCTAGCTTGTCCAAATCAAATTACACAATACCTATATACCTCAAGAGGGGACATTCATTTCAGGTTAGTGACCTAAGTCACTATAAACAAGTTTCTCTGTAAGTGAATACAAGGCTATACAGTATAGAATCTAACTTTAAACAAGTTTTTTTTTTTAATCATTTGTATTGTTCAAAATCCTATAGAGTTATGGTGATTAATTAGTTGGACTACTAAATTACTTCTGATAGAGTACTGTACTTCTAAGTTGAGAAACAGACAGGCAATAAGAATTCAATGTATCATCCAGTGCATGAAAAAGGCACAACAACTTTTTTTTAATTTTTTTGGAACAACAATGTTTTAACACTTTTTTATTCTTAAATACTGCTGAAAGAACTGCACATTATACATGCCAATATACATTTTATGTAAAAAGTGTAAAACGTTTTCTTGTGGTGAATACTGTATACACAACCTTGTATAGTGTTTAGTTTTCCTCTTTATTTTTTTAAGTATTGTAAAGAATTGTTAATGGTATTAATGATGAGCTTATATATCAACATTAGTTGTGTTCGCATTACACAAAGTACTGGCTAAGATTTAAGCTGATTTAGACTTATCTAGCATATTTGCATTTCGGCTAGACCCAATTGCGTCCACGCACAGGGAGGGCCAGTCGTTAGCACGGGCTAAGGGGTGCCATTAGTCGGTGACCTTTGGTAAGCCGCTATTTACGAACGAAAAATGGATGATATGCGCGAGGTTCTATTTCTGCTGCTGGCATAATTCGTTCTAATTTTGAAACGACGTGCACAGGAACGCGAGAGAAGACGGACCCAACTTATTTGGATGCACAGAAACAGTATACAACGGGCGTAACAGAATACAGAGTTTTATTAATGCATGTCGTAGACAGCGAACCAAATTTATTTTGTCTACAATTGGAGCTGCTGTACGTTCTACTACAGCGACCCGATCAGTGTGGAAGCGAGCACGTAGTAATGACTGGTGAAATAGAGTCGAACATGGGACAATTTCACACCCAAAGGTCACCGCAGAGGGCGCTTAGCCCTGGGCTAAGCGTTCGCGCATACTTCGTTAGCCCGTGCTAAGGGTCTAGACCGTGTCTTAAATTCGGATCAGATTTAACCCGTACTTAGCATTCCTTGGCCCGTGCTAAGCGTTCACGCACGTTTTCTTAGCACGGGCTAAGGAATTTGACCTCTTAGCCCGTGCTAAGGAGCTGTGCTTGAACGCAACTATTATTATGGGGCATTTCATAAGTACTGGTGATTAACCTTCACTGATAAATAAAATGCACTAAAGTAAATTTATGAGTGCATGCCACAGCATGGAGATTATAAGATTTCTTATCACCTCCATGAACTCACTAATTGTTTTACTAGAAAAGTTGTGAATTTAAAACTCAATGAATATTAATTCTCAAAAATAGTGAAGAGTATTTATCTTCTCTACGTTGAGTCGTCTAGTTTGTCTCATTTACTTTTGTTGAAAAATGTTTGGATTATTATTGACAATCGAACACCAAACACCTTTCAACACACAATGCATTGATGCGTGAAGGTAATTGCCACACAAAATATATATAACCACAGTCCCTGATAGAGGAACTGTTATATAAATGACTGAAAAAATAATATATACATCTGCATGCCATCACCAATTACATTATGATGCTAGGTCTCAAGGTCCAATAAATTGGCAGTGTTGTGTAAACACTCTTCTCTCAGCAGGGGGCTAATCCCTCTATCAGTCACATAAACAAGATGCATTCTGGGAGAACCATAATGTACATTGGTATACTGTAGAATACTTTATTTTCGCTAGGAATTTATTTTCGCTATTTTCGCTGAAGGGATGATTCCGTGAAAATAAAAACCAGCGAATATACTTTTTTTCCTATATTTCACATTAATCTCATCAAAAATCAGTGAAAATAAATTCCAAGCTAAACGCCCAGCCTTTTCAGCGAAAATTAATTCCAGCGAAAATAAAGTATTCCACAGTACTTAGCATTTCTTTTTCAGGATGAAAAGGGCAGTCAAGAGTTTATCCCTGGCTTGGGTTTTGGAATTACTATGCATATGCCAGTGATTTAAAAATTAGTAAAAACTAGTTGTTTACATCCAAACATAAAATAATGGTGTTGGTATCACTTCTGTTGTCCCAGTTACCGTAATAAAACATTTTAGGGTCAGGTTTACACTGGCCCAGGTGTGGTGATTTTTTTTCAGTTAATTATAATAATAAGAAACTTATGACGCGAAACCACCACCAATATATATATGGGTGATTTTAAGGTTACAGGGAAGTTAACGTTAACAACTTTTTATTTAATTTAAACTTTAAAAAGAAATAAATCGTGAGTCAAGGTCAGGTTGTCAAAGATCCAAGCTATTGCTGATCAGTGAGTGACATTTTTTTATTAGATGCTCACAAGCTGGTTACAAAAATATAAACAAACATCACAGTGCATGTGGAGGTCTTTTTTTTTACCTCCATGCAGTGCAATGGCTTATAAGAAAGGAAACATGATATCTACACATGTAATCTACATGAATTGAAGAACAGCTGCTCTACTATATAAGAGAGTTGTCTCATGTCATTTAATTGGGTTCCTGTTGTGCACAATTCCCCACAGGGTAAATGCAGGTTTCAAGTTACATGGTTATACACTAAAATGCCTAAAAATGGAGTTAATATTCAAGTTTCACTGTGATCAATATATCGATAAGCACTGATAACAGGTTTTCACAAATTCATGTGAAATGGAAACTATACATTACTATCGGAGAGATGTCAGCCCCCCCCCAAATGATCAATGAAGAGGAATGTCCTTCTGAAATCATGTTTTATTTTATAATAATGACTTACAGCAGTATACATTGAGTTGCATAACATTGCTAGCAGTATTGTATTTTATGGGTCATAATCTCAACATTTACATTGTCTGGGCTTTCACTATGAACCATACAGACAATGGTTAATTGTTTTGTTTTTTGCAAGAATGAATGGTTTTAAAGAATTATCAAAACAATTATTGTCACAGTGGTACTCTCA